GCGGCCACTGCACTCCAGTCTGGGCGACCAAGTGAGACTCCAACTCAAAAAACAAACAAAAAACAACCCCCAAAACAAACAAACAAAAAACTATTCTGCTGAATTTCTAAAGATGGGAGGAGAATCAATAATCTTCCATTTGCTCCCTGAAATAGATCTCTTGACTATAGCAATTGCTGTTATCGATAAATACTTGGCTGAGCTCATTCGACTGACTATATATTCATTCTGATTCGGTAACTCCTTTCTGCAGCGTGGTCCACATGCTGTGTGCAAATGGCATAGCCAAGGTTAAGAAGACCAAATTTGTTTGTGAAGGGCATACAGTCATGCAATTTAAGCATTGGGAATAATTTTAAAATAAATCTAGCAAAAATATGCATCTTATGCTCCATGTCCTCTACAACGTATGGCTGATGTGTGTGTAATAACTTAGATAGCCATAGCATTTTACTTGAAGACTGTGTTTAAAGACAGTGATTAATGGGTTGGCCCACCCATCCTCCTGACTCCAGATCACTGCCAAAGTGCAGCTGACTTTAGAATGTCACTTGTCATCACATGGTTTCAGTGTCAAGTTCAACTTTGAAGATTGAGAACACATTGAAGTAAAGAGAAAGAAAAGGAGAGGGAGGAAGGAGGAGGAGGGGGAGAAGGAAGGGTTTGAGAGGGGGAGAGAGAGAGAGGAAACGGAAATAAAGAAGAAAGAAGGGGAAAGTGTGTGAAGAGCAAAATTTTACAACATATTACTAGAAAGAAATATTCTAAGAGTCTTATAAGCTTTGGAGTTTCAGCAGAGCTTCTAGTCAGACAGCTGAAATTTGCTTATTCAAATATGTGTTCTGACTTGTAAAGCTATTTACTTATTCAAATGATATTACCTTTGCTCAAAATGTGTTTGAACTCCTCACTTAGAATTGCCATTGGCATCAACATGACATTTGGTAGTTCAGTAGTCCTTTGGGTACATTCACTAGTTGCTTGACTTATTGTCACTAATATGTGACCCATGTACTGTTAATGGCCTGGCAGAGGTTTATGGTGACCATTTCTATGCTTTGGGAATTGGAAAGCTATGGTTTATTGAATATTCATGAAGCAAGGAGCAGAGGACAATTGGCAGGATCTAAGAGCAGCTATGGGTAACTTGTATATATCTTTGGTCATCTCAGAAGGCAAAATAGTGGTTTTGTTTCTGCTCATCACCAACTTGATGCTTCCTCTGACTCTATTTTTCCTGTATTTGGGTTGAACTTCCTTCTTTGTTCATTCTTTTCATAGCCTGACTACTTCTTGGAGTACCTACTCTTTCAATGATGCAGGTGATTTGGATTAATAGAATGGATTGAAAAATAATAACTATAGAACATCAACAGAGCTTTCTTAATATATATTTTCTTTTTTATTTTAAAGATGTGCA